TATCTGACGTGTCCCTCTGCGGTCTCGTGCCTGGGTACCCACAGTCGGGTGGTATCTGACGTGTCCCTCTGCGGTCTCGTGCCTGGGTACCCACACTCTGGGGTGGTATCTTGCACATTCCTCTGTGCCCTGGACTTTAAACATGTCATAGGTCTGGAGCTCCATCACATTCAGAAGGCACCATGCCCAGTTCTTTGTTACGACGCTAGAAGCCCTGACGACCCCTGCCTACATCTTGTATGCTGGTAGGGGTCTGCAACGCACTGCTGTCCTATTTCCAGCATTCTTGTTCATCAGCTACCACACTTCCTTTAGCAACGGTTTGGTCGCCCTGAGGTGTAATGTGAACAGGAAAGGCAGGTGACATGCTCGAGTCTTCCTCTTTGTTTACTGTGAGCAGGACGAGTCCCCAGCAACCTCTAGAATGACTGAGATGAGGTTTTTAAAGAATCACTGCAACTCTGGATGTAAAGACATCTGATGCATGTCACTCCACAGCAACTTGAGCAACTTGTATATTACAGTAACACGTTGTGGGAATATTATAGGAAATCATAAATGTAGTAATAACACATATACATAGAACACACACATGTCCTCCTCATGGGCCAGGAGAAGGCTCTTCCAGCTGGAGCCCAAGTTCCTCTGACGTAACCTCGGGGGGCCTGGCTTCCTCTTGGTGGGAAACAGTGCCAAGACTCCCCACCTGGGTGGTGCCAGGGCTGCTTCCTGCTACGGACGTGGGACTCAGGAGGTGCTGCTGAGCCTTTTCCATGGACAGAGCAGGCAAATCATACTTTTTCTTAGAAGAGGAAAACATCTAACAAGTTTTCTCATCTACTGGTGTTTCTAATTCAAGTAGAGAACTAAAAGCAAAAAACCAAACTCGCTGCCGTTGAGTTGCATCCGACTCACAGTGACCCCTTCTTGGGTTTCCGAGGCAGTATCTCTATGGAAGTAGATTGCTCAATCTTCCTTCCGAGGAGTGGCTGGTGGGTTTGAACCGCCAGCCTTCTGGTCAGCAGTCAAATGCCTTAGGCACTATGCCACCAGAGCTCTCAGTAGACTATGAATTATTTTTAATTTCTTTATTTTTATGTATATCTTTTTATTCTAAAAAATCTTAGTTGTTAACAACACTAACAAATAATTATTTGCTTTATCCAATACCTAAAATAGGCTTAGAATAACAACACCAATATTATACTGATGACTCTATGATTACTGAAAGCAATTGTTTTTAACAGTTTTTGTTGCTGATTTTTCTAGACCTCAGGTTCCCTGTTTTGAAAATGAAGGGGTCAGACTAATGAAATTTTAAAGCTTGCTTCCAGTCTGAAAGGGACAATTCGTAATAAGACACAGTAAAGCCAGGCCAATGAGAAACACTCAGATACACGAGCCCAAACCTGATAGTCTGGTTGGTGTCTAACTTCGGGTGCCTTGAGTACTCAGAAACTTAAATCCAAAGACCTGTCTTCCCTGGGTATCAGGATAAACACCCTGGTGAAAGTACAAACTCTGTCTTCTCTGCAAGCGGCAGGGATGCTCCGATCAGTACCATCCACCTGACAAAGGCTTTCGCCTCTCACCTGCTCCGCGAGCCAGACTGAGGAAGCACGAACTACCATGTGGAGGCAGAGCAGCTAAAGCACTGTCAGGTGCTGCCAACACACATGTGCCACGAAGCCTAATACTCCACCTCACCACAGCACAGGTGAGAGACACGGTTATGGCCTGAGTCAGACACAGTTAATTAGCAGCTTTGCACAGATGTGCAAATGCACACGTATTTTTCACTTGGTCAAACATTTTTCCAAGTGAACTTGGTGCAAGCTGGCCTGCACAACCAGATATTCCTCGCCCAGCTGGGCGGAAAGAGGAAAGCAAGGGGGGAATGTAGCGGACAGAGCTGCTGCAACAGTGTTGCATTGTGTTAGAACACAAACCAAGGAGCCTAGCTGACAGCAAAGAAGGCAAACAAGCCTGCATGACAACACAAACCACAAGGGCCCTGGGAAAAGCAGGAAGAAGCTGTGGTGGTCCTGAGCGGGCAGCAGACCAGCCCATTGCCCACCAGGACCAAGTAGCTACACTGTAGTCAGCGTCGGTTTGTTAGAGCGCGAGGAGGTGGGCAGGTCTGGTCAAGACAGTCCCGGCCCACAGACAGAAGGAGCAGAGACCTACCTTGATAACCGCTAGAGCTGAACACGGCGGCCAAGCTCTGCAAGGCCTTGCCTATCTTCTGATACTCCTTGGGCAAGGCTGGAAGAGAAAAAGGAAGGCATGGTTAACCCTCTCAGCAAACAGAGACACGACTCAACTGCTCTCCAAAAGCTGATGATCTCTATCATCCAAGAATTTGAAGTGATTTAAGAGTCTCTACTCTTTAGGAAAAGAGTGATGCAAAAATGACTGTTAGACGCATGACGTGGTCAGTGAAGGTGGACAGAGGGGCAAACGGATCCCTTTAGGTGCTCTGAAGTTCCAGACAGTGAACTTTAACTCCTTTAATTTAGCAAAAGGTTTACTCTCCTGGACTGGACCTACTGCCTGAACACCTAGAGTGAGAAACATCGGCCATGTGTTTCACCACACAGAATATGCTAGTTTTCACTATGCCAATTAGGGATTTTTAAGTACTCTGTGAACCAAAAGGAGAAAGAGGATATGCCTGAATCAAATCCTAAGCAAAGTGTCTTAGACACTCTCCTCCCCACAGAAAGGTGGCCTTAAGCCAATATTCTCTAGTTTATGAATTTGGTCTTAGGGATTATATAGGACACAGAGTTGATCAGATGTACACTTAAGGGATTTAATTCTTCAAAAGAAATCATAAGCCTAGATTTTTGTGATATCCTTAAAACATGATTGTAAGCTTTGTACTCATTTAAAACATTTTTAAGATGCACTGACCCATGTTACTTCAGTTCAGTGTATTTTACTGTACATAAATTATATTTCAATAAAATGTATTTTTTAAAAATTAAGTATTTTTAAGAATAAAAAAGCAGGAGTTTTCAAAAAGCACGCAGATTTCAATGTCTATGCAGAGGGGAGTGTGCCCAAGATCATGTATAGGGTTGGCAGACAACGTTTCTACAAGTGTATTGATATGTTCTGTAAGAATTCCCAGGTGTATAGTAGCGCTGACAAGGGATAAGGTTGTAGTCACTTCTTGGGCATAGCCAGCCACCCAGAGGGAGCGAGTAGTGGGACCTGTGGGCTCAGGACCATAGGCGCAGGGGACATCAAGCTCAACTGGCATAACATACTACACAAAACATAGTGCCACTTTGGCGAGTAGCGACTGGGATCTTAAAAGCTTGCAAGCAGCCACCTAGATGCAATGATGGGTCTCTCCTTGTCCAGAGCAAAAAAGAATGAAGAAAACCAAAGACACATGAAATAATTAGTCCAAGCAACTGGTACACCATGTGATCCTTAGCCTATGCGGCCATGAGACCAGAAGAACTAGACGGTGCCCGGCTACCACTGTCAACCACTCGGAGGGAGAGCCTGGATAGAGGAGAAGAACAATGTGGAACAAAACAGAATCACCTGAGGGAAAAAAAAAAAGGACAGGTTTGCTGGTCTGATAGAGCCTGATGGAACCACTGAGATCATGGCCCCTAGCTGCCCTTCAGGTCTAGAATTGAACCTACACCTGGGGCTTCCAGCCAAACAACAGGCATATTAGCTGAACATTTACACGAGAAAGCCCAGGGGACAGAAGTGCATGGAGGGAAGGACACAGGGAAGAGGTAACTCTGGGGAGGAAGTGGGAGGAGAGCTCATAGCCCCTGCAGAGCCCTGGCGGCTGTAGGAGCGACTCACGTCCTGTGCACCGCTTCCAGTGCTCCTGGCCCACGGTCAGCAGCTCCTTCACGCCGTCGTCCATGGCTTTGGTGAACTTCCCAACGGCATCACACTTCTGCTCTCTGTGGGCAAGACAGCCTGTCATTCACGCAGAAGGCAGGGCCGGGGCTGCCACCCACCGACTGGACAAACATTCCGGTGGTTGGGTCAACTCGCCCCAAACGTGACTGCAGCTCTTGCTTCCGTGCATTTTAACAACTACCCTTTCTTTCACTAAATAGGTTTTAAAAACGGGCTTGACTCCAGTGTTTTAGAGAACTACTGAAAAGCCCATCATTTATATTTTTTTAACTTCGCTTCCTCTTCAATTTCTTGTGAATTTTAACTAAACTTTTTCTAAAGTAAACAAAAGTACCATTTGGTGAATTTCTTATTTACTGTAATTCCAGTCACTCGAAGTATCATCAATTGTGGCTATAAAACAGTACCATGGGTTGTTCATGGGGGCTGTTCATTCATTCCAACAAGTTCTTCTTCATGGAATCATACACCACAACCTGGATTCACTGCCATCACTAAGTGATACTAAGTGATACCACGACTTTGAGTGATGTAGTAATGTTTCTTACAGGTATGTTCATACAGAGGAGGGTGGGGAAGCCAATACCCAACATACTAACATTGACTTTCTCTGGGTTGTGGGAGGATTGTATGTGTGTTTGTGTGTTTTTCCTTGTTTGTATTTTTGGTAATATATTAGCAATGATTTTATGTTAAGAAAAAAGCTTCATAAAATTGAAAATGCCAAAGTTTCTTATTAGTGCTTACATAGAAAAGAAGTTACTCCCAATTTTCAACTGAGCCTGTATTTCATAACAAGAGATCAAAACATTCAGGGAAAGCAGGTTACAGAGACCGTTCCTTCAAGGAGACACCCAGGGATGCCTGCATGGTCGACCACCACGTGACGTCTGCTGGCTGCTAACACCTGGCTTCCTCACAGCTGACTGGGAGTCAGCTAGGAACTTCAAGGTGAAAAGCAGCAGACTGCGATCCCACATCCTGGTCCGTGCACACATGCTGCCTGCCCACCTTGCCTTCTGACTGAAAACCCTAATGCTCTCATCAGTCTCAGTCAATGTGAACTCCAGCTGTGGCCACGCTGGCCAACATCTGCCTGCCAAGGAGGCGGCACCTAGGCAGAACCTCTTACATTTCCAGCAAGTCCAGGTCGGGTGCCTCTGGTTCCATGGTGGAGAAGATCAGGACTCCCACCAGCTCGTCTTTCTCAGCCTTCCTCTTCCCGGTTTTCCACTCCTGCAGGAAGAACAACACCGTGTTCAACTGGACAGCAGAGTGGCCCAGCCTCGCAAGATTCCTTAATAGACTCGGCTCCCTGTTATCTGTACCTCTGTAACCGTCAGGAAGCAGCCCCCCTGCCACTTCCTCCTGCAGCCTGTGCCAAATGCCTGTATGTCTCTCACATGGAATCGTTGGCCAAACAGCCCTGGCGCAACCACGTCTTTGGGAGGGGAGGGGAGCTGACTGCTTTTCCAGATGGCCACCAATATAAATGCAGGCTATGGATTTTGGCAAAGTACACCTTGATTTTTTAGGTTAACTGTTTCCCCAAAAAGGTTAAAGCTTTTCTAAAATACATGATAGGAACCAACATTATAAGCAATTGGAGAAACTTTATTGTAAGCTGGTGGTGTAGTGGTTAAAACACTCAGCAGCTAACTGAAATGCAGGGAGTGCAAATCTACCAGTTACTCCTCAGGAGACAGATAAGGCAGTTTGCTTCTGTAAAGATTTACAGCCCTGGAAACCCTGTAAGGCAGTTCTACTCTGTCCTCTAGGATCATTATGAGTCAGAATCCATTTGTCAGCAGTGTGTATGTGTGGGTTACATAACTAACACACACACACACACACACACGGTACGCAAAACAAAAATATGCTCCGTGATCAAGTCTCACAAAGTGCGAACCTGTGCAATGACTACCACCCAGGCCGAAAAGGAGAAAAGCCCCCTCCCAGCCCCTCTGTCCCCTGCCACACAGGGAACCTACCCTTTCTTTGGTGGTAATCATTTCTGGCCTTTCTTTAGGTTTAATCACCTAAGCACGCATGCCTGAACCTACTGCTAGTTTTCTGATGCTGTACAAAGGAAGTACATAGTGTGCTTTCTTTCATACCTTCATTATTTTATGGCTTCTTTCACTCATCCTTATGCTTATGAGATAGATCCACAATGTTGTGTGTAGTTACGGTTCACTCCTTTTCATTACTATATAATATTCCACCGCATGAGTATTCCTCAATTTCTGTACCCATTCTACTACTGGAAGCCCTCCTCCTCGCTGGGCTATGAACAAAGCTGCCAGGTTGCATTTTCCAGTACATGTGGACATGTGGCTATTCGGTCTGTACTAAGGAGGGAGCTCTCTAGGAGAGAATGCCAGGCTGTTTCCAAAATCTTTCCACTTGTCACTCCTGCCAGGAGCGGGCAGACCAGCAGCTGTTCCCATTACCATAACGACACTGGGTACAGTCTAAATTCAGCCATTATGGTAAGTGTGTGTGCTATCTCCCTGTGGTTCAAAATTTGCATTTGCTTGATTACTAATGAGATTAAGTATGTTTATGATTTGTTGGTCATTAGATACTTTCTTTTGCCACACACAGGATCACATCTCCTGGGCAACTGTATCTCCTTCATGGCGAGCCCTTCTGTGCCTATTTAGGAACTCCTTCCCCACTGAGCACGCAGACTTCTAGGCTATCCACTAGAAGCTTCACCATCCTGCCTGTCCCGTTTACACATGTTAACTACCTGGAGTTGACTATTAAACATACATAACAGCACTTTCAAACACACACAAAAAGAGGAAAGTAAAACAAACCCTACAGGCTCAGCTTCGACAGTTACCAACATCTACCAATCTTGCTTTCTTTATTTTTCTATATTCCTTTCTTTTTTTGCCTATTTTAAAGGAAATCTCAGACAGCTTATCATTTTTGCCTGTAAATATTTCATTATGCTTCTTCAACGGGTAAGAACATGTTTTTAAACAACCATTCCACCAATATCACTCCTAACAGAATAATAGTAACTAAGCACAGCCACTTCTCTAGGAGTCTTATTTCTCCTCAAGCTTACTGTAAGCTCATCAAGGTTGGAAGGACAGTCATCGGAAAACATGAGCGGGTCTAGATTTCTCAGTATTCGTACACCGCACTCGACATATCTGGCAAAGCACCTGAACAAGCCCTTGTTCAAGTCTCGGGTAACCAGTAGCAGCAGGTGAATGTGGCTGTGTGACATCCATTTACTTTTGCAACTGCAAAGTGAAAAAACTGGGTTCCGTACAGAGCCCACCCCAGGCAAGAATGTGGCTTCCCTGCTCTGCTGCTCTGTGCCACACTGTGACTCGACAACACCTCTCAACAGAGGCCGTGGGGACAGACACAGGTGCAGAAGGGGGCTCCTCCAGAGCGGCCTCAAGGCGAGGCCTGTGACAGACACAGGTGCACAGGGAACTGCCGAGGCCCTCAGGCCTCCCAACTCCTACCCCGTCACACACAGAACTTCCAAATGAGCCTCCCACTCTGGAAACGACTGAAAATCAGCCCTATGTGACAAGTGTATGCATACGTCCTTCATCTTTATGAACATTTTTACTTTAACAGGACAGACGTACTACTGAGATGCTCAGCTAGTAAACCTCTGCTTGAAAATGTCAGTAAGATATGTACAATGTTCTATTATTCGATTAAAGCCAAAAGTAACCTTAGGATTATTTCCCAGGATCATAACCTATCTAGCACCCTGCCGCTGGCTTCGAGTAAAGGGAAGGTCCTCAACGAGACAGACTGGCACAGTGGCTGCAGCGACAGGCTCAGGCACAACAGGACTGTGCGGCCGGTGCAGGACCGGGCGGTGCTTCCTTCTGCCGTCCACAGCATCGCTGTGAGGTGACGGCACCGAACAACAACTGGCTTCCAAGCCAACTCGTGCTTTTTTTCTTTCAAGTGTTTTCTAAAATAATTAGTATTTGTCATGGAAGGAGAGAAATTATGTGATACCTTCAGTAAATGAAAGGATAAAGAGTCCAGTAAAAGAGTGTTGTTGTTGTTGTTGTTATGTGCCGTCGAGTCGGCCCGGACTCATAGCGACCCCTCCTTGGGTTTCCGAGGCAGTATCACTACGGAAGTAGGATTGCCCAACCTTCCTTCCGAGGAGTGGCTGGTGGGTTTGAACCGCCAGCCGTCTGGTTAGCAGGCAAGTGTCTTAGCCACTATGCTACCAGAGCTCCCAGTAAAAGGGTACTCTTCCCAAAGCAGACATTAAGGAATTACAAGCAGATGGCTTCCCTCTAGATCTTAAGAAGGGCAGCTGATTCCTGGCAGGTAACCACCGACAGGGTCAGGGAACAGCACTTTGGCTCTGAGAAGAGTGGCTGGCCGCTCAGTCTACTCTCCCTATCACGAGGCCAGAAGACTGTAGGGCTGCAGTATGGTCCCAAGAGAAGCTGGTCACTCTGTCCCCTCCCTTCACCCAGACAACATCCTGCATGGTCCGGGATCCATGTTACTAAAGCATGGAGGAACAAATTCATCCTCACACCTCCTCACCCCTGCCCACCTGGGCCAAGTCATGCCTCCTCACCCCCGCCCACCTGGGCCAAGTCACACCTCCTCACCCCTGCCCACCTGGGCAAAGTCACGCCTCCTCACCCCTACTCCCCCCCCCCAGTTCGTGGGACCCATGGGGACAGGCAGTTCTGTACACCCTGATCCCTGTATCATGAGTAATAGCCTTAGCTGGGATGAGGTTTCGATCTTCTCACTGTCTTGGAGGAAATGAGATATAAGCAGCGAACCCTCATGACTTTAGGTCCATTCAGAAGGAGTTCAGTGTGAATCCGATGCCCCTTCCTGTCCTCCATGCCCACCACCGTAAACGTCCTACCTTCTCATCACGGAAGTTGAGGAACTGCTGGAAAACCTCGCTCTCTGCGATGACAGGATGCCGGCACATCCTGGTCATCCAGGCCTGGAGCCTCTCCATGCGCATTTTGATGAATTCCTCTTCAAAGCGGCCTGCAGGCGACAAGGCAAGAGTAACTACAACTGTGTCCAAAATGAACTACTATTACAAGTGAAAAGCCATTTCTTGTCTATGGCTGCTTCACAGAAAACTAATCAATCAAAGCTGAATTGTGGTGGCTTTTGACTAACCTCCACATGCCACATACCGAATGCTCCACCGCCACTAGAGGATGCAACAGACCTCTCAGCTTTCAAAACTGAAAGCCTAATTTAAGACAGCTATGACTCTTTTTATGAAAATAATCACAGCCTCCAAGTGCATTTTCTTCACGTCCCTAGAGCACTCAAAGTAAATCTTATCTCAACATGGATTTCCTTACAGATTAGCATTATGCTCTTTGTGGGTAGCCACACAAAGCCCTGTGGGAAAGAAGGGAGTAGGTGAGAAAGTGGAAGTTAACACCTAAATCCTGTCTTGTAGGAAATTGTCCTATTTGTAAAAATGTATCTGAGGACAAGAGAATTTACAAAGCTACAAATTCAGACTCAGTATTCATGAAAAGTGGTTCAGGGCTGTAGCCTCTTTGCCCTCTCTCTTTTGCTTTTCAAGTTACTTAACATGAAAGTAAGAAAACAGGTTTTTTTCACGATCGCAATACCAAAAATGCAGCAGAACTCAAGAGCATACTAGACTAGCACTTAACTAGTATAGTTTCTGCTTTGAAAGTGGAAAATCAGCTTACCGTGCATATCAGATAACAAGGGGACACAGAGAATTTCTAATTTCTACAAGTCTAAGAGACAAAAATTTCTACCAGTTCAGAGGCTTCTGGAGCGAGGATTCTGGCTACAGTCAAGAAATCAGCAATCGTGTCCCCAGAAACCAACAACGGTCCCTCCTCGTTATTCCAGCTCCCATATTCCCAAACCCCTGGAAACACTCAGAAGGCTGACTGCCCCCAGATGCTGAATGCACCAGACCGAACAACTACTATAAATGTGTTCAAAGACCTAAGGAACCAGGTTTTAAAACTTATGGAAAAATATAACAAGGACTCAACACAGAGATTCTCAAAGAGGCAGAAACGATAGAAAAGAAACACATGGCAAGTCTAGAGTTGAAAAACACAGTAACAAAAAATTCACAGCAGTGGCTCAGCAGATTCAAGATGGAAGAAAACACCGGCATATTTGAAGTTCCATCAACAGGAGTTACCTGAAGAACAGAGAAAAGTTCTGAAATGAAAGGAGCAGAGCTTATCAGCCATCTGCACCCTTGGAGCGGGATTTCCCAGGAGAGCGGAAAAGTGTCTCAAGACCTAACAGCCAAAATCTTCCCGATGGGATGGGTGACCTGAGTCGGCACCTGCAAGAAAGCTCACCACACTACAAGCAGGATCAACACAAAGCAGTCCCCAGTAGACACAGCAGAATCAAACTGCTGAAAGAGACAGATAGAAAGAACATTTAAAGTAGCAAAACAACTCATCAAAGAGTGATTGTACAAACTGTACAGAAATTTTAAAATGACATTTTTAAAACACAGCCTAGATCTTCCTTTAGAAATTATGGGCAGAAACAAGGTGAAGTCTTTCAACAGAAGAGCCAGACAGACTTGAACCTGAACAACAATGGTTCTAGATACTTCCTGTAGACTTTCAACTGTTCCACTTTTTGAGTAGAGATGAAATGAGACATAAACTGAACTAATGCAGAAACAAAGTCTTATTTATCCTTGGAAAAGATGCTCCCACTTCTCCAGGACAGAAAAGACCAAGTCAGCATGGACTTGGGCTAAAAGGAATTCCCTGCTACTAGTGAATTACACCGAGTTTGTCATCTGATCACTGGTTGAAACATAATGGTTCTTATCTTACTGAAAAACTGTCCTCCTGAACATTTTTCTGACATAGCGATTCATCTCCAAACTCTGTCCTCAGACGTTACCCTATGTTGATTACGATTTCCACACTGGGGTCCAGTGGATTTAAAAAAAGGGGAGGGGCTTCCACGCCCTCATTCTCAATGATCCTTCCTTACAGGTTTCAGTTATTGCTGTGTACCGTTCAGTTGATCCTGACCCTCAGCAACCCTACTGAAGAGAGCAGAATCGCATCACCGGGTTTAAAGGCTGTCATCTGTATGGGAGCTGATCACCAGGCCTTTCCTCCCACAGAGTGGCTGGTGGGTTCAAACTGCAGCCTCCGGTTAGCAGCCCAGTGCTTCACCCGTGTGCCGCCAGGGCTGCCCACAGCTTTCACTACTACATGAATATTCCAGTTTGGCACAACTCAGGAATGAAAACCAAATTCATTCAGTATTATGTCAAAAGGAACAAAATCTATAAACAAAAAATGTGACCTGTTAAGTTCTTCATGGACTAATTACCAACGTTTCTGAAACATGACACCACCATCTACCTGGTTACTTTTTTTTTCCCTCCATGAGTCTCAACACAGTAACGATCTTGTGAACCTCAGGGGCAGGACACAGACAACAGAGAAGGGGAAGTAAAGTCACTTCGCGCCTCTCGGCTCCCCGGACCCACATCCCAGCCCTGAACCAAAGCCCAGCTTTCTTCAGACAGGGGGCTGGTGCTTTCCTGCCTTTCTTGACACTCCTGGCTTCATGCCTGACATTTGATTTTTTAAAACCAACCCTGTGATGCACTGCAGCAACACTGCATTATTTGATTGAGAATAAACAATGCCTATAAAGCCGAACAGGTATTTTTAAATCCCTGCAACTCTCGACCAGTTCATGAGTCCCTTTAGGTGGGGCAAGTTGCCAAAGCAGAGTATAAAATTCAAGGAAACACTGGCATTTGAAAGAAGAAGAAAAAGAGCTGAAGTTTTCATAGGAAGAAACCTCTCTTTTTCTGTTGTTATTAAAATGGAATGTTTTTATTCATTTATTTTTCAATTTTTATTGTAATTTGGATGACAGTTTACAGAGCATATTCGCTTTCTATACAGCAGCTCACACACTTTGTCTCTTGACACTGACTGCAGTTTCCCACAATGCAGCAGCTCCCCTCCCACTTCCTCCCCATAGTTACCTCTTTTCTGTGTCCTTCCCTCCATGCACTCCTGCCCCCAGAGCTATTACCCTGGGCAAACACAGCCCTTCTATTCTCCCATGACTGATCTCTCCAAGGAGTTTATCTACCTAGTGTAAATGTTCAGCTCATATGCCTGTCTTTTGTTTGGCTGGAAGCCACAGGTGTGGGTTCAGTTCCAGACCTGAAGGGCAGCTAGGGGCCATAGTCTGAGGGGTTCCATCAGGCTCTATCAGACCAGCAAACCTGGTCCCTTTTTTTTTTTCCCTCTCAAATGATCTTGAGTTTTGTTCCACATTGTTCTCCCTCTCTATCTCCTACATAGATCCCTGTCCAAGTGGTTGATGGTGGTAGCCAGGCACCATCTAGTTCTTCTGGTCTCATAGTTGTACAGGCTGAGGACCGCATGGTGCACCAGTTGCTTGGGCTAACTGAGAAACCTACATGTTTAAAAAGGAGCTGTGATTCAAAGCATTAGGGATGACAAGAAGCGGGGCAGCGACTCTGTGAACTGGGTGCGGAACTAGGGGGAGGAAGCAGTACTACAGCCCACCGGGCTGCCCTGAGGACAGCTCTCTGGCGACTGCCCGGCTCCCCTGGAGGCTGCCAAGTGTCGCCCGTGAGGCTGACGGCACATGCGACTCTACCTGCACTGCGTTCCCTGGTCATCACGCTGGGGCTGCTTGAAATATTCAAACACTTTTCAGAACAACTTCCTTAAAAACAAAAGTTTCCATCTCCAAAAAAGTACAGGGAAAACATAAAACAAAGTAAGGTTTTAAGGAAAGTAACATTCTCATTCCAGGGCTATAATCCCAGCTGCAGAAGAGCTGGTCCACGCAATGTCAATGGCACAAGCTTTGGAAATCAATCTGAATTCCTTTGCTAGCTACACTGAGCAGAGCCTGTGTAACTCCCCTGCATTTCAGCTTCCTTACGTATAATGGGAAGATGGAAATACTTCCCTGTGAGGATTCAAAGGAGCTCTAGTGGTACAGCTGTTAAGCGCTCAGCTGCCAACTGAAAGGTCAGCGGTTTGAACCTACTAGTGGCTCCATAGGAGCTCTGGTAGCATAGTGCCTAAGGCACTTGATTGCTAACCAGAAGGCTGGTGGTTCAAACCCGCCAGCCACTCCTCGGAAGGAAGGTTGGGCAGTCCTACTTCCGTAGTGACACTGCCTCGAAAACCCAAGGAGGGGTCACTATGAGTCAGGGCTGACTCGATGGCAAATAACAACAACAACAACAGTGGCTCCATAGGAGATGGGGCGGTCTGTGTCTATAAAGACTGACTGCCCCGTGGGGCAGCTCTCCCCTGCCTCCAGGGTCACTGTGAGCTGGCACTGACTTGATGGCAGTGGGTTTGGTGAGGACCTGTGGACAAGCACAGATGCAGAGTCAGGCACACAGGACAGCCGGCATCCAGGGGCAAACCTGACTCAGCGCACAGGCAGCCCACAGCGGCACGGTGACCTGCCCGGCCGAGACTCAGTCCCTCCCTCAAACAGTTCCTCTCCAGTATTGCTGCACGAGGCTGAACCCTCTCAGCAAATGCCTAACTCTGGGCAAAGACACCTCCTTCCCGATTCCTGGTTCTGCTCAGAGGGTTTCGTTCAGTCCTTTACTCCTCACATGTGCCCCTGCCCTGACCTATAAGCCTTCCCATCACCCGGGTCCATTCCTCTCTGCACATACCAGTTCCGTTATCTGAAACTTTTCTGGCTATAAACTAAAACCCCTTCCAAACTTTAATAAAGCCCAGTTTTTTTTTTATAAACTCTTATTCTAAGACAAACATACTGAGTCTCTGAGTGTTGACAGACCAGGTTCTTCAACAGGCTGGAGATTAAAACAAACCACTACACCCCTCAATGAAACAGCTCTCAAAACTGACACAGGAACAATACTATCTAAGTGCATATTACAAGTGCTCTGGTTCACCATGGGGGTGTGTGTGCGTGTGTGTGTGGAGGTGGAGAAGAGGGAGAAGGTAATAATCAATGATAAATAGAAATGTTTAAAATCAACAGGCAACAAAATAATTAAGTAGAAAACTTGGCAACTTCCCACATCAACTTGTAGACCCCTCTGCATGTCTACTTTTGATGCCAACACACTTCTGATGAAGCTGACACCACACCATCCTGGTTTACATCAACCGGGTCATCTTCAGCCTTTCCTTCCAGGATGTCGGGTCATTTGTTTCTCAGGTGCTGTTTTTCACCTATTTCTAAAAGTCACATATTTCTTTTGTAGGAGAAAGTATAGCAACACAGTAACGTTGCTCACATTAAACACACACGCAGACACACACACATGCACGCAAACACGAGACACAGATACACACACACAGAGACAGACACACAAACACAGAGATACACACACATACCCAAGAACTGTGAGAGAGGACTGCACTGAACAGCCTCGTCAGGTAACTTTCAGCACACACGTGCACTAGATGCCACGGCTCCTGCTCAGAGTCGATTTAGTCACTGTCCCCAAGCTCACACATCTTGCTCCTCTAGGAAGATGCTGTGGCTGATTTACACCAAGATAACTCAACTGGGGTCTTTTCACTTGTCACCCCAGGTTCTCTGTTAAACACACTCACCTGTGACCTGCTTATCAGGAAGAGAAGGGATTGGAATGGCTGACCCAAACTTAACCAGGAGACGCTCATATAACCAGTCAAAGTGCTTATACCTGTGGTTTACCGATCGATTAGTGTTCTACAAAATAAAGGAAAGAAAAGAGAGAGTTACCAATGATACCTGTAGAAAATGAGGAAACAGTAAATTGTCACTAGCAACGCCAGCACGATTGTCTCTGGAAGTTGGGATACTCACAGTGGGTGTTAACTGATACTCAATGTAGCTCTTCAGACCGTACATCTTGGAACCTTTTTTGGGATCTGCTACCACACAGTCGAATGTAGAGGTAGGATAAACCCACATTGGGCCATAATCTCCAACCTACACAATGTTCCAGAAAGGGTTAATTGTGTCACATGGGAAAATGGGAAACACAGCTGACAGCTCTTTCCAGGGCTAAGAGTCCACTGAGCGCCACTCTGGTTTCTCTTTGAGAAGTTCCATGAGTGAATCTCCCTGCTCCTGGCAGATGGCGCATGTAAAGGACACATTTGCTGTGGCAGAGCCTTCTTCTCCTGATGGGGCACCCCACCCCATGGGCAGGAGATGACTGCTGCCCCTCAGAGGAGTGTGGATGGAACCGCCTTCTCTTTCCAGCTTAGTGCTTCTCAAGTTCCGTGTGATCACAAGTGGACCCAAAAAAACCAAACCAAACTCACTGCCATCAGGTTGATTCCAACTCACAGAGACCCCCTTTGAGTTTCCGAGGCGGTAAATCTTTCAGAAGTAGATCGCCTAGTAATCCTTCTGTGGAGTGGCTTGTGGGCTTGAACCGCCAACCTTCTGGTTAGTAGTAAAAGGCTTTAGGCAGCACGCCACCAGGTCCTTCACAGATGGACAGTTTTGTAAAATATAAAATCATACACCTGGATGTCTTGACAATGCCAAACGGCTGCCAAACTTTCTAAACACTGACTCTCGTTTTCTGAACTTAACTCCTGGTAAACTGGTAACAAAGACTGTGCAGCCGGGCAGCTGGCCCTTGGACCCTACTTCGGATAGCACTGCTCTAGCTTCTTACAGAAACGGCCGACCCGAGCTCGGTACCAATTGTCTTTCTGGTGCCTCAAAAGAACCAGGCCAGCTGCTTTCTCGAGGGTCTACCTGTGCAGTGGGCTCTGTCACTTCCTCTTTCCAAGTGTCGCCCCTACCTGGGCAAGGCCTGAGCAGGGAAGAAAGGGCCGCCATTCCTTCTCCACTGCTGTCTTTCTCTGTCTGTGCCCAGGGGCACATGTCTAGGCACTACGTACTGCAGACCCCGTTATCTTCCAGTCTGTGGTTTGGGCTGAGGAAGGATCTGCCACTTGGTCCATATGAAGAGTGGCATGTGGGGAGTCAACCCCCCTGGGAGAGCATAATGCTCTTGCTGTAGCCGTGTAGCAAGCTAAGCCAGCAGGTCCTGACTCTCACTAGCTGTGGCAACTCAAACTGAGAACACGCCAGTATCCCAGGCGCAGCTCGGGCCTGCACGAGATAACGGGGGTTTTAACCAGAGAGCTGGTGTGCGAGTTTGGAGCCTGTGCACCGCTTCTGTTCAGCATTTATAAGTGACATTAGACCTGCTGCCCAAACCTGGTTCTTTCCACCCTGTTCCCAAATGCACCCAAGGCCAAAGAGGAGGCATTGCGGGAAACATGGATGTGGGGGAATGCGTGGGGCTCCGCACAGGCCCTGAGATCTCTCCCTGCAACACCAGCGGCCTTGGGTTGGCTCTGGATCGTTGGCTTCATAAACCCTGGTCGTGGCTTCAGCTGCAGACTGGAGGGGGCAGATTTTATCACAGAACTTATGAAAAACATTGGAGCCCTTGTTATACAGGGAACATGCTATCTTCTTGAATTTGAATAGAGAAATAATTGAAGTGAATTATAACAATCCAGGATTAAGATGGAAAAAAGAAAACACAAGTGGTCTGCAAACGGAACATGATTTCTAGGGAAGTTTCCGAGAGTCTAAGACAAGTGAGAATAGTTTATAAAACAGTCAGAAAGGGTACAGCAGGAAAAGAGAAATACAGGAAACCACGCAGACAGCTGAAGGAAGGGAGACCTGTTCCAGGCCAGGCAGACCGCAAACGGAGAGAAGAAGCACGCCCAGCCCCCACTCCCCTGAAAGGTGGAGCCAGGAAAGAGCCGGGCGGGCAAAGGAGGAACTTCCGGAGGCTTTTAGGGCCAGAAGGTGAGCCGTCCCAGAGAAGCTGAGTAAGGGACTGAAGGGAAGACCCCCGACAACAAACTCCAACAGCTCCCCCAGATCCAGGAAATTCCCTGAAGGCTACTATCATGGACTGAACTGTGTCCCCCCATGTATGTGTCAACTTGGCTGGGCCACGATTCTCAGTGGTCTGGCACTTAAGTAATGATGCAATGTGGCAGTTACACAATGATGCCCCTGGATGGGACCTGATGTGATAAGCCAACCAGTCATCAGGGGGCTAGGGTGGGATTCAACACCCCAAATCCCATGACAGCCCTGACCCAATCAAAGGGAGCTCCTCTGGGCTGCAGCCTGCGTAACCTTTCATCTTACGAGAGACAAAAGGAGAGAGAAGGGAGCAGTGAGTGGGACCCACTGCCACCAAGAAAGAAGAGCTGGAAGCTGGCGTGTCCTCTGAACCTGGGGCCCCTGCTGTGGGTGCCTCCTAGAACCAGGAGACACTCTCGATTCAGACCTGGGACTTCCAGCCTCCTCAGCTGTGACAGAGCACGTTTCTGATTCTTAAAGCCACCCACTTGTGGTATTTCTGTTATAGCAGCATGAGGTAACTGAGACGGCTGCCAAGCAGGGATGTGTAAGGCAAGTGGTTGGAGAACTTGCTCTCAGTGACTGGGGCCAAGAGGTGACTGTGACTGGCTATGGCTCAATACTCACAGGGCCGCCTTTTATTGGTGGGATGGGAAGCTGTGTCCTGCGAAGTGCCAGGTCTCTACTTCTCTTGGTTTCTGGCAGACTCGATGGCTCTCCTCAGATTCCTTTTCTGAAGCCCATGTGGGCAGGCCTACCTACAGATCGCATGGCCCAATTCTATGTAAGACCTGGGGGGTAACTCAAAGGCAAGGGTCCTTTGGCTTCACTCCACCACTATCATGCTCGAGCCAAAGTCCTCTTCAAGAAGTGGAGGGGCAGGGCCACGGCTCTTATTTCTGTAAAGCTGCTTCTAATTTCACGGAAAGAACACTACTACATGTGTAATACAAAAAAGTCTCAAGAAAACTAAAATAAACTTTAACCCCCTAGGAGATAACGACTCCAGATTTGCTTCGAGGGCAGAAGGGAAAATGGGGCTCATGATCACAGCCCTGTGTGTGCAGGTTTCCAGGCTTTCTGTTTTGCGGAGACGTGGGAGGAGCACTCAAGAATCCCACTATCATGCCTGCGGTTAGCGAGTCTCTCAGGAACCAGAGATTATAGACTAAGACCTGACACGTCCCCACCCTCATGTGAGGCCAGCTGAGTAGACTGAAGGGTCTCCCCCAGCTTATAGACACAGGGTGGTCAGTGGGGTCACAGCCAGCCAGGCAGATTTATCTGAGAACCTATGAAGACCAATGGGAGTTCTTTTCCAGAGCTTCATTTGGGAACAGACAGCTAGATCATGCCCGACACAAACTCCATCCACAATCAGAATCTGGGATGGAACCAAAGAGCCTGTGTGTCACGCAGTACAATAACCAAGTTATTCAGACATAGATATTCTTAATGATGTCATTAACCCCCAGTCTTTATTTGCTAGTTCCTAATCTTGACCCACAGGAGTGCTGGTGGTGCAGTGGTTAAAGTCCTCGGCTGCGAACCAGAAAGTTGGTCATTCCAATCCACCAGCTGCTCCAGGGCAGAAAGACGTGGCAGTCTGCTTCTGTAAGGTCACAGCCCTGGAGACCCACTGGGCAGCAGTTCTCTGCCTACTGGGTTGCTATGAGTTGGAATTGACTGGACAGCAGTGAGTTATCTTGACCTGAGAGCTGTTTTACTAAAAGAGTAATTCTCACTTGGCATATAGAAAAAGGCACCTTATCCTGACAATATGCATGTACCTGGCCAGGGTAGAAATCTAAATACCGGAATTGGGTTTAGCAGCTAATCATGTAGGGCTGATATAAAATAACATGTCAGATACACTTGAAGACAGTCTAGAGAATAAAAATTATTAGTAAAAGCATACATACAATTACTACTATCTTAAAAATAAACAAAATTCTGAACAATGTAACAGCAAGGACTGTGAGGATGGCATGCGACCAGACAGAGTTTCATTCTGTTGTACGCAAGGGTCACCGAGTCAGAGCCAACTCGACGGCACCCAACAACAACAGACAATAATATGATGACAGGTGTTACTATATATGCTAATTATCTTTAGTACTTCTAAAAACTAACTAACATACTGTCAGTTATTTGGAGCATTAAATGCATTTACAAATACTTCCTAAAACATGAATAATCTTGTCACTTTAAGGTATAATAAAAGAGCTTAATGAGAAACAAAGCAAGCAAACAAAAATGAATGAACTTACAATGATGGGAATCTTCTCTTTGGGTTTTGCTAGTTGCTTGGCCAATAAATACTGTTCCGTTCCAGGTTTTGCAAATCCAGGAAACCTAATCATGAAGACAAATGCCCAAGTCTTTATACCTTTCCCTGCAAGAACCGACAACTCTCTTCCCCAATTACTTCGTAAAACAGTTTTAACCTTGTTCCGTGTTTCAGATGTGCTAGCACTAGGAAACTGTGGTAAATGAAACCTAATGTAATCAGACTGTTCGATGGCCAAGTAGTCATTTAATTAAGCTTTATCTGGTAAGAGGACAGTTGGATTCCAGAAGGTGAGGTATTTATGGGTGATCTGCCTGCTTAACTGAGTCTGAAACATACCAGCCAACAAGGAGTGGAGGGTAGACTAGAAAAACGCTTCTCACTGGGAGGAGGTGCACACCCAGCACTTGAGGCGGCCACGCTCTGGCCAACAGCCAGCCAGCAGCCTTTCGGCATCCACATTACAGCTGCCCTTCAGAGTGAGGGCGCTCTGGGAGGCCGCGGTGATCCCAAGAGGCTCTCTCTGTTCATGGACCCTTGTGCCTTCAGACCCAGTTTATGAGACAGAAGGTTCCTTAGTAAAAAGCCTGACCCATGAGGCCCAACCTGTAATAAATCAGCTGGCTTTCTTCCAGAATTCAAACCCCCCAGAGGAAATTCTTGAATTTCTACAACAGCTGGGCTTGCTGTACAGCCATCACAGTACCACTGCTCAGGAAGACAAGAGCACTTGGGGTTTGACATTTTTTCTTCAATAAACAGAAAAAACAAATGGGGATCACAGAAAGCAAACTGCCTAAAATAAGAAAAGAAACTTTATTTCTAAAACTGACAAAACAGAAACCCAGCCACACTGGTAACCTCACTCACGTACTAAGTGCCCCTGTGAGGCTCAGGGCTCCGGGTCTTGGCACTTCTCCTCCACTCTAGACTGACTCCCTCTCTGCTCCGTTCTCTGTCAAGCCGTTCTCTAAGTCACAGCTCATACCACAGAGAACAAAGAGGAGGCCTGAATCCTCATTCCAACTCTTAGCAGTGAGCTTGTAAGCTTAAGTCTCCTGGTGTGAAGAATGGGACCGGTATGAGCTGCCGTCCCAGAGGATGGGAAACAGAAGGACGGGTGCAGAGAGCCAGCTGTGCGCTCACTTCAAATGCCTTCTGCTGCTGTCACCTTCCCGAGAGCCTGCAGAGGGCCTGGGCTGGATCCCTCAGCACTCTGGGCCTGTCCCACACAGCTTCTCCCACCTACGGCCGGCAGCCACTGACACGCCGCAGCAGCCCAGCAGAACCTCGGAGAAGGTCTATGTATTCCCAGAACGGACAGGGGTTCTGGGAACATATAAAATGCTTCAGAAATCAAGGGGCTAACCTGGAACATTCTCATTAAAAAAGGGTTCTTTGGTAGAAAAGGTGAGGGGAAGCTTGAGAAACTGCACACAGTGACAGCTCCCTGTTCTGGGGCAGGAATGACATTTCCCACCCTCACCTAATCTCACTGAAGTGCTACAATGCCCCTGATCCATTCTCCGAGGATATCGAGATGGATTCCTATGGTGCTGGAGCACGTTTACAATTCTGATCTCCCTTTTGGTACAAGGTTCACTCCATGACTGAGACAGAGCTGTCACATAAAGTGGATTAACTGCTGAAAATGTTAATATTTTCAAAAAGAATTTTACAGTTGTCCTAAGTTAACTCATTTATACATTAGTTGAGTTTCCAGCCCCACAAGGAAGGGAAACCTCAAAGATACAGGTTCAAATTAGGACTGTCCCCGTTTGAATGAAACTCTACAGCAGCCAGTCCTTTGTTAATGAAAGCCAAGCTCTTCACTGTACGATGAGGAAACGGAGGTTCCAGCAGGTCATCAAACGTCCCCAGGACCATACAGAAGTTATTGAGGAGGACGGAGGTGTGGGACAGCAGGGAGCACCCACAACGGGGGTCGAGGACCAGGACACAAGCACAACCTCAGCTGCTAGCTTTTCAAACGCGGTCATTTTTCTCAAAGAGGCACCGTTTCCTCATCTTCAAAATGGGCTGAAATATGCACCATATTTAAATGGGATTTAAATATACTATGTGCTTAGGTTTAAAGAATCAAGAGTAATATACATTGCCACTGACAATATGGAGAAATTTTCATTTGACTCTAAGAAACTGGGTAAGTGATAACGAATGGCTACTTTTACTAAGCACACGATGATGAAACTCCTTCACAAAAGAAACATAGGTGGAGGCAGAAAACGTGTGTGGCCAAAAGACAACTCACGTAATCACCTGACACTACTAAACACGCCACAGAGAACCTGCAGCACAGAGCACATGCGTTCATCAACCTGGAAGGCCACGTGTCTAGCTACGCATCAAACGTTACGCTCTCAGTATTCTACCAGACAAAGATTAACACCAAGGAAAAGCAGCAGCAATTCCAGAAAATGAACCTATTTTACACCTAACTGCCGACTCCAGGAAGCACGCCTGGGAGATTCCTATGGAGGATGTCTATGATGTTCTTCCAGCAACACTGGGATCAACTACAGACACAGCCGGCAGCACCTCTGCCAGAGACTCCTACTGCGACCGCAGCCACTCTCTCCCAGTCTTTCCTTCAAAGTAGTATGTCTACAAGCACCATTGAAAACAGTTTTCTTTTTCAGCCTAAGAAGAAGAAAGCCTCACACACAGTTTGCACGGTAGTTGAGAGCCTGGAAACAGAGGGGTGGGACTAGTGTCCTGCCTAGACTATTTGCCTCCTGTGCGAGTTTGGACAGTGACTTGCCCTCTCTGAGCTTCAGCTTTTCCCACAGTAAAATTGGGGTATCTCACTCACAGGGCCAGGGGGTTAAGTGAGAATGTACACGGGCCACTTTGCACAAAGCTTGGCACATGGTACGTGGTATTTAAGTCGGAAAAACGGTGAAAGAGAGTTGCTATTATTCCCACTGGCTTCACTGTGACAACACTGCTGTAATATTAACATGTCACAGACTTGCTAAGGGTCAGAGTAATAAAAACAATCTGGCAGATCATTAAAAAAATATTTCTCTTACTAACCTTATAAAATAATTCTTTAAAACAAACAAACAAACAAACTTCCAAGCTAAGACCCAAATAAAAATGATCAGATCACACCCACAAGGTAGTAGGTCTCTAAGAAGGAAGAAGCCAGCTGCCCCTGTGTTCTGTCCGTCTGTCCACACCCGTCAGGCTCCCCAGCTCCCGCTCCCCCGTTCAGACGCACTTGTTCAGTGGCAGCTTCATGGACGACGGCCCAGCCCGGCTGATTCCTCGCTGAGCACCGCCTGCTTCGGCAGACTCTGAATCCTTAAAGTAAGGTGACGCTGACTTGGGGTCATCCCAGTCTTCATCCCAGTCATCATCATCACCAGTGGCTAGAGTGGGAACAGAGCAGCACCAAGAAAAACAAAGTGAAAATAAAGCTGCTTAATCTTCTGATGGAAGCCATAAGGACCCCTGGGCTGAGAGTCAGTTTAAATGAAAGATGGAGAAGAGGATGCAGGATGGAAGTAAAATGGCGGTCAAGAGTACAGGCCTGCTGCCAAGGGCTGCATTATTGCTTCTGCCTTTCAGCCTGAAAAGCCAATGACCTGCTGTGGTAATCCTCAGCTGCCCTGTGTGCAAAATGAAACCCACATCTCTGACAGTTGTGCAGACTGAATGATAAAATATATATAACCATCTACCAGAGTGTCTGGGAGCTCTGGTAGCATAGTGGCTAAGACACTTGCCTGCTAACCAGATGGCTGGCGGTTCAAACCCACCAGCCACTCCCCGGA